TTGTGCAGCATTTTAGAGAGAGAAGAGTTTTTGACAGAGAGAGGGGGAGCAGAGAGAGAGAGAGAGAGAGGAGTTTGTGAGAGAGGACTCAGAGAGTTGGTAGTGACGCTGGTCTGAGTGGTGTTGAGCGTGAGAACGGGGGAGAAGGGTGGAAAACAATGTGGGTCTTCTCCACTGCGAGGGGAAAAAAAGACAGTCGGGAGCTCAGTACTTTTAATATTAACTAGTTCTTGTACACGGCCCAATGCACGTGGTATTTTTTTGTCGGTTTTTCTATAGAGTGTCCATACGTACTCTATAAGAGAGGAGAGAGATAGAAAAAAATGAATGAGAAGATAATCTCAATGCAAATAAAGGGACCCCCTCCTTATTCATTTCTCTCTATATCTCTCCTTTCTTATAGAGTGCCCATTCTTATAGAGTGCCCATGGGCACTCTATAGAAAATGAATGAGAAGAGGATCTCAATGCAAATCAGGGACCCCCCTCCTCAATTCATTTCTCCTCTCTTATTAGGGCCAAATTAAACTTAAATGCCCTATAATTTCACCAACCAGGCACTTTGATGCCTTCTATTTAAAAATAGTACACGTAAATACTTCACTGTAGTATTACAGACAAATAATTGAAAGTTTCAAAATGTTGTAGGTTGCTGCTCTATATTAGCGAACCATTAGAAGATTCCTGGAATATTTCCATGCGACTTTGTCACGTGGTGATCAGGGGCGGGGCGAAGATGGGTCCAAAGGGTCCATGGTCCTCCTTTAAATATGAATAGTTGTAGGGGGTATTGAGTAAATTGTAACATTAATCGCAACAGTGCCTAAGGGTTGCTCCTCTTTTGCGTTCACTGAAAAAGGAAAAGAAAAATTGAAAGAAAGGGTCAAAAAAGTTGAACAATGTATTTCTTTTGATCCTTTTCTTTTGTCGGTTTGCTTTTGTGTTCTAGGAAACCTTTGCTACTCGAAATAGGGAAAAAAAAACTTGTTGTTTGGTGTTTTGGTTAATTCGTGTTTAGTTAAAAAGAAAAAGTGCAAAAATCTCTTTGAGGGGTGATGTCAGTCAAGGAATTAAAAGGATGGGTTGTATAGAATATCGTGGTCACAAGAGAGATTTCACTAGAGCTTGTGAGCGGACGTGGGGGCCCACCCTCTCACATGGATGAAACAACTCAACCCAAAGCCATACCCACGTGATTGTGAGAGAGCAACAACATTCAATCAGGTAAATTGTTTATTTGGGCCTGGACTTTTTCGATTTCTGCAACTATAAATAGGAAAGATTCCCTAGGTTAAAGTGTGCAAGAGTAGAGGGTGTAAAGAAAAATCGCAGCGGCGTGCAAGGGCTTCGTGAAGGGGAAATCGCAGGAGCCGCCGACTTTGACGGAGAAGCCGCTGGCTTTGAGAAGAGTTTTGGCATCCCCTTTGTGAGAGATTTGAGAGTTGGTATGAGGGTTTAATTTGTGTGATTGTAAATTATATTTGTATTCTCTCTCTAATAGTAGATCTCCCTCCTCCTTACCCCGTGGACGTAGACAATTTGCTGAACCACGTAAAATTCGTTTGTCTCGCTGTTTGTGTGATTTGTAATAGCTTATTTAGGTTCATTCGACAGGTCAGTCCTAGAACTGATGAGAGGAAGAGCTGATATCCCACTTTGTTAAGATATTTTGCTTTTGGTTCTTGTTTCCTTGGTGAAACGGGAATTCCTATTGAGACCTTACTCTCTTGTTGCGCCGAGTTATGCCGAGGTGCTGCCGAAATTTTCGCTACGCACAACAAGTGGTATCAGAGCCCATATTTCAGATCTAGGGTTTTGGAATTAAGTGGAGGAAGATTCTTGTGTGAAGCTTGGTTCTTAGAGTTCTAAGCTTCGGTGGAGATAGCATTAGGAGTTGCCGTTGGAGATTTCGCTTTTCTCGTGTGGACGGGAGATCTATTTGGAATCCGATCTAGGGTTTAGTTGGGTAATTCTTAATTTCTATCAAAGTTTGATTCTTTCTCTACAACTTGGAGTTAGTTTGCAAAGGGAGAAGAAGGTGAAAGCAGCAAGACGATAGCGAGTATAGTTCAAGTTAATTTTCAGAACACCAAAATTAGTGTGGTGAAGTATGACGGTGAAATTAATTTTGGTTTGTGGATGAGCGACATACAGGATGCGCTCAATGCTCAGAACTTAGAGGAGACCATCATGGTCCATGAGAGACCACCAAAATATGAAGAGGCGATATGGGAAAAGATGAATAGGAACGCTTGTGGGGTGATCAGATCCTGTTTAGAACATGAGCTGAAGTACGATATGATTGGGGTGATGAAGACGTGAGAAATTCTCAACAATAAGTACCTTATGAAGAGTGTTGAGAATCGGTTGCACTTGCTGCGTAGGTTATTCAGATTTTAGATGTCCATAGGTACCTCGCTCGCGGCTCATGTGAACAACTATACGAAGTTGTTGTCAGACTTAGCGAATGTTGATGAGAAGATTTCGGATGAGTACAAGGCTATTATCTTATTGGGCTCCTTACCGGATGAGGAGTATGACACCTTTGTGCTCACTTTGTTGAACGGGTGATCTTCTATTAGTTATAGTGAAGTTACTAATGTATTGACGAATTATGATTTGAGGAGGAAAAACAAGGAGACTTCCCGTACTAGTACTTCAGGCGAGGCCTTGTCGACGAGAGTTAGAAGTCCATATTCGAAAGGTGATAATAGAGGGAGGTTAAAGTCAAGAACCCATCACCAATTAGCAAAGAACCAACATGCATTCTGCAAGGAGCAGGGACATTGGAAGAGAGACTGCCCGAAGCTCAAGGAGAAGGAGAATGACAAGAAAAAGGGCCCGAAGGCCAATGAGGTGAATATTGCAAAAGGCGATGATTCCGATGATTCGAGCTTTTCTCTACTGATTACTCCAGAGGTGAACCAATTGGATGCATCAGATTGGTTTGTATTCTGGTGCTACCTATCATGTGACCTCTAGGCGAGATTGGTTTGTATCTTTTGAGAAGCTCGATGGGGGAGTTGTAGTCATGGGAAATGATCAGTCCTGTGGTATTTATACGGATCCGGATGCATGATGGAGTAGTTCATGAATTGAAGGAGGTGAGATTTGTTTCTCAGCTAAAGAAAAATCTTATCTTAGTTAGAGCTTTGGAGGTAAAGGGATTCAAGGTGATCTTTGAAAATACTGTAGCGAATGTTACTAAGGGATCTTTGATAGTGATGAAGGGAGTCTGCAGTCAAAATTTATACTAACTAAAGGGGAGCACCGAGATTGGCCAGGTTGCTTCGATTATTTCAGAGGCGGATATGAGCAGGGTTTGGTATTACAGGTTAGGGCACACAGGCGAGAAGTCACTGCAGGCGCTGTGCAAGCAGGGGCTATTGAAGGGAGCCAAGAGTGATAAAGTAGAGTTCTGTGAGTATTGTGTACTTGGCAAAAAGATGAAGGTGAAGTTCGGGATAGCCATTCATCAGACGAGGGGCATTCTAGACTATGTGCATACAGATGTTTGGGGTCCCACCAAGACTGT